TATATGTAACTTGGTTTGTCCTCCCCTCCCACTGAACTGTGAGCCGCCCTGAGTCCCCCCAGGGAAAAGGGCGGCATACAAATAAAGTATCTTATCTTATCTTATCTTATCTCTGGAGGCTGGAGAGGGCAAAAAACAGGCCCAATGGGCTAACCGGAAGTTTGGGAACAAACTTGACCCGTTGGGGCCGTTTTTGCCCTCCCCAGGCTTCAGGAAAGCCTCCGGAGCCTGGGAAGGAATTGTGCGTGCATATGCAGGGGGATCATGCTTGTATGCGCAGGTGGGTGGAGAGGATTGAATTGGTGTGGGCATACCTGCGTGCATGACAGCACACATGGACAATTTTGGTACGCCATAAGAAAATGGTTTGCCATCACTGGTCTAACCTCTGTTCAATGGTAACTGTACCAGATAAATAAATGGAAGGCAGTGTCTTGAACTCAAGATGACTCCGAAAACAAAATACCTCTTGTGAGAAATAATTCGTCAAGGATTCCTGGAGGTCAGGATGTTGACTGGTTTGATAAACAGTAACAGATTCCAACATAATATCTGCAATGTAAACAGTGAAACTTAGTTGTGATTTAAGTCTTCATTAAATTGTTCAATTCAAACATGGATGGAAATATATTTAAACCAAAATTCATTCTTTTCGTCTACCTGAAATGCAAACAAAGCCAGCCGATCATGAAACCAAACTTCTTATCAATACTTTAGAGGTATATTGTCAGGATACAAATTCTGAATAATTTACGACACTATGTGGCCATTTAATCTTTATGAAAAGATGTTACCAGAACACTATCAAGGAATATGATCAAAACAGAGTAAAAATCCTATGACATACTTTAATACTAATGTGAAGATGTGGGTTCACCGACAAATGCGCGCACGACAAATGCGTGCCGACAAAACCGCGGCGAGAAAACCGTGATGTCAAAATCGTGCCCACAACAGTGCGCCGACAAAAGCGCGCCATCAGCAAACAACACAAAAACAAAGTAATAACCCTAACCCTGAACCTAACCCTAACCCTAACCCTAATCGCACTTTTGTGGGTGCGCTGTTGTGGGTGCGCTGTTGTGGGTGCAATTTCGCCATCACGGTTTTCTCGCCGCGGTTTTGTCGGCGCGCATTTGTCGTGCACGCATTTGTCGGGTCACGGAAGATATGTAAAAGGATTTAAGAATAGTTGGGCAAAGAAATTGCTCATAGAAGAGAAGAAAAGGCTAATTCTAACCAAATTCAAAATGTATTGTTTCTAAAGGTACCAGATAAAGGCAGTCTCATTAATATAGCATCTTTGAAAGAAAAATAGAGAAATTCAAGTCACATAATAAAATGTAATTGATTGGGCAATCTGTCTCAGAATAGATAATGAAAGCATTTTAGCAATGATAAAATGACATTAGTTTGGAAGTATTTCTACCTATAGATTATGTCACAATTCATTATGTGAAAATAATACTTGAAAAGATCAAACAATCCACATTTCCAAAATTCCAAAATTATCAACTAAACAGGCAGCAATAATATTAACTTTAGCTGGATAAAAATGTGCCTCTAAAGGAAGCAGTCATACCTGATTCAAAATCTGGATTACCACTGATCAAAAGTAACATCTTAAATGAACAAAGTATTTGGTTGATGAGAACTGGTTTTTTTAATTACCGTATTTTTCAGAGTATAAGATGCACCATTTTTCCTCAAAAAAGAGGCGGAAATCTGGGTGTGTCTTATACACTGAATGCAGCATTTTTTGCCTCCCAAAGCCCCGCCCTTCACCAAAATGGCCATGCTTACCCTTATGGAGGCTTTCAGAGAGCTCCTGGGGGCTGGGAAGGGCACAAATGAGCAAAAAGGGGTCATTTTTTGCCCCCCCAGCCCCCAGTAGCATCCCAGAAGCCTCCATAAGGCTATGCATACAATTTTTTTAACAAAAACAGACCTGTTTTCGCGAAAAACGGGCCATTTTTTGCTCGTTTTTGGCCCTCCCCAAGGCTATTCATGCCTTTTTTGGGGGGGGGAAACGAGCCCATTTTTGTGAAAAACGGACCATTTTTGGGAGGTTTGCAGAGTGCAACAACTTTTTTTTCCCTTTTGGAAAGCTCTTTAACTGATTGATGAGAATTACATTGATCAAGTGCTGTGCCAGCAGAAACACCTACCTATCTGCTCTATTTCTTTCCCTTTATCCCTCTACCTACCTACCTACACACACACACACTCTATTTCTCTCTCTCTCTCCCTTTATCTACCTAACTACTCTCTCTCTCCCTACCTATCTACTGTATTTCTCTCTCTCTATTTCTCTCTCTCTATCTCTCTATCTCCTTACCTACCTACACATACTCTCCCTAACTACCTACTGTATTTCTTTATTCCTCTCTCTCTCTCTCTTCTATCTCTTTACCTAGCTATCTAACACCCTACTCTCTCTCTCTCCCTACCAATCTACTGTATTTCTCTATTTCCCTCTGTCCCTCTACCTACCAACCTACCTACTCACTCTCTCTCTCTCTCTCTTCCTACCTACCTACTGTATTTCTCTATTTCTCTCTCTCTCTCCCTTTATCTACCTAACTACTCTCTCTCTCCCTACCTATCTACTGTATTTCTCTCTATCTCTATTTCTCTCTCTATCCCTCTACCTACTTACCTACCTACACACACTCTCTACCTACCTACTGTATTTCTCTATTTCTCTCTCTCTCTATCCCTCTACCTACTTACCTACCTACACACACTCTCTACCTACCTACTGTATTTCTCTATTTCTCTCTCTCTCTATCCCTCTACCTACTTACCTACCTACACACACTCTCTACCT